GAACTTAGTAAATAATAAAGTCGGCGAAGAGGAGTGAGAGTAAGCCCGCGCGAAATCGGTGAGTAAAAGCGGCACGTAAGAACGGCAGTCACGGGTGATTTAAAAAGAAGGTCGATAAGAGGGACGTACATCTTGTATAAGCCCCCTATAATGATAGTGTATATACCCCCGTAGGAGATCGACAAGTGAATCGCGGGGGACGAATGATGGAAGGAGGGGTATTGCTCAAATATTCAAAACTCCGATTATTTGCTCGATTCCATTTTCCGTCTTGCTCGGACGTCGCTCGACTTCTTTCCTTCCCATCGCGCGGACTGGCAATTTATCGGTAATATTCTGTATGCCGCGATTCGTAAGATGTGCCCTAACTCTTATTCGCGGTGCCGGAGCTTCGGTCGGCATACGCTCATTGTACAATTGCACAAAGTTCTCGAGCCTTTACTGAGAAGAGACTTGTCTTGTCCCGTCTCGTCTCGCCTCGCTTTGCCGCTAATAAATACGTCTTAAATATTTTAAAGGCGGATTGTCGTACGCGGAAACTGGCGGTCACTTTTGCAGGAGAATAGTCTTCGCGGGCTTCCGCTACATCGGCGCTCTAAACGTATAAGCGAAGTGTCGAACGAAGCTTTTAAATTGTAATGCGAAAATCACTCGTAAATTATTGACTCGCACTCTCATGTCCATTCTTAATATAGAACTTATTATTATTGTTATTATTATTATTATTATTATTATTATTATGATGATTATTATTATTATTATTATTATTATTATTATTATTGTCGTCGTCGTCGTAGTCGTTGTCGTTGTCGTTGTCGTTGTCGTTATCGTTATTGTTGTCATTACCGTGCTTGTTATTGTTGCTATATTATTATCGGGGGAAGCTTGCTGTTAATAACATAATTGTAATGTGTCAATACCGCCAACAATCTGTATTTTATCTGGATCTCGAAAATCTAAAACAAGATTTATTAATAATTTATTTTAAATGATTATTTTGTGCAGTAAGGTAACACTCGTGTATTATTATCTGTGATGTAATATTTGAGTATATTCAGAGCGAAATATTATATATAAAAGCCTTCTATTTCATTACTGTGAAAAATTATATTTCCACTCGTGAACGAATGTCGATGAGTAATGAAATGCTATTATTTCTCTCACGGAAAAGAATATATCTCTATGAAATTTAGTTGCAAAATAATCACTGCTTTAAAATTCACTATACTCAGGCCTCAATTTTTACCTAAAGAAAAACGGAGCTTTTAACAATAAGCCATTTAACAATGTCGCTCAAACGCACTTTTAATCAACTACCGAAAGTACAGCCGCGCGCATTTATAGTTCAAAATATTATCAACGAAAGAAAATAATGAACAGTTCGGGGCGTCATAATAGCCATGCCAATCGAATTGGCTACCCGAAATTTCCCTGGAAAATTACCAATTATCGTGCTTACGTGTGTTTCGTGTGGACGATGCATCGTATACACTATTACTAACAGCCTTCTTGTTCCTTGTTCTGTTTCAGCATGAAACTCGAATGTGAGAAGCTGGCGACGGAGAGGCTCGAGACTCACAGGCATTACGTCATGGTAAGCAAGCTTGAATAATTGCGACTAGTAGTTGTGCACTTGGGAAAAGTTATGTCCTGACGAAAAACATATTAACACAATTAAATTTGCCTATCTAGCTGAGATGTTTAGGCAGTAGCGGCCAAATTTTCACGCTGTTGGTGAAACTTTAATGGCCAGGACATAACGGTGCTTCCGTAAATGCCAGCGCACTTATCTTTAATGCTTTCTCAACATTTGCAGTCATGATTTTCTCCACCTTTACATACATGACTAATGGGTATATGTAGGCAGTTAATATTATTGACTGGTTATCGTTTATATTTTCGAAAGACCAATGAGGATCAGTGGAATATAATTTTTAGAGCGCCCACTCGAAGTATAATGACTTGAGCACTTAAAGTTTCGGCAGTTCTGGAAAGTTCCGAAGCGAATAGCCAAGTTCATTCCCCATCGTCTCCTGAGACATAAAATTGAGCCTCGTGCATATCACGATGGTACCTTCTAGTAAGTTTCGTGGCTTTCCAAGGGAGAGAAAAATGCCCCTCCCTAAAAACACTATAAACACGTAACCCGTTTCCCAAGAGGCCCCAACTATTATCTTATCCCTTATCCCTCACACTCTCTCTGTATCTATCTATATATTTATCTATCTATCTATCTATCTACTCATATCTCTCTCTCTCTCTCTCTCTCTCTCTCTCTCTCTCTTTTGCTCGCCTCGACTTTTTCGCGCGTGTTTACGCGCCGTAATCACCAGCTCGCTCGACCGCACTAAAACCGTGTCTCGGGCTCTTTAACATTAATTGCATCCTCTTTACGCCGGCTACGGCAGACCCCCCCCCCCCCAACCCCCTATAAACACACGCACACGAATTACACAGAGAGCCAGATATGTACAAACATAGGAAAGAGCGCAGGCGCATCGTATCGCTCCCCCTCGGGAATTTCTTGCTGGCGCGCAACTGGCTTGGGCTTTTGGTTTCCGAGTTATTATCCTGTCCAAGAGGCAGCGGGAGTAATTGCACAATGAGGCACCGCCATGAACTGTACGCGGCTTATTTGCCCCAGCGGACGGCTTTTTCGCCGCGAGGCCCCTCAATTCAATCGGCGCTTTTTATCGCTGGCACTGCAAAACACTAGTAGTTCCGCGCACTTTTCGCTCGTTTCTTTTTACCTTACTTCTACGCTTCGCTCGAACCGTTGTCTTTCGTATTTTTTTTTTTGTCCAGGTAATTGTTGTTATTTCGCGTGCGTTAGAGTCCAGACTGGCTCGTTGGCTTTTTACTTTGCAGTTTCGTTCTCGGTAGTCGCGGGTTGCAGGCAAAATTTTCCGGTACAAATATCTATCATTTACGCACTTTTATACCTTCTCATTATTTGCGTTACGTTGGACATTTATTATCTTTCAGGATACAACTTTCCCGAATGGAAGTATATTAATTATTAGATGAGTTATTTTGCATTTCAAATTTCATTTTATATTGCCAAAGATGGATGTATGATAATATGGTTAAAGCATTTGCATTTGTCGGTGTAATAAAAATATCATAAACAATTGACAAATCTTATGACTTCGTGATTTGACTTTTCCAAGTTTATGCAAGAGTATTTTTTTATAAGCTATAAAATATTAAAATGTAGTCATAACTTTTATTGGTCTGCGAACGACACTTTACTTAATTTACTATTCAAAACGGAAGGTATCGTTTTATTATTTTTTCGAATTTGTAAATAAGTTTAAGTACGCTTCATGCTGACATTATAAAAGGCCTATAGTTTTATATAAAACAGAAGAAAAATATTAGATAACTACATGCATTATTATACATAGCCTCGCATAAATTGAACTTTTCATTTCAGTCGGTTTAAAACGGAACAAATGATTGTTATTAACAACTGTTTTAAAAATTTAAATACATTATTCATGCATATTCAAATTATTCGATTAATTCTTACTTACAAAGAAAATTAAATTTCTTACGATTTTTGATGATTTTAAGAGTGATCTGTTTACTAACCGTATAATTTATATTTAAACGTGATAATGACGTACATTAGGTAAACGTCGGCTAACCAAAATATCAGAGGATTAGAACACAGTAACATTAAATTTCGTTTCGTATTATTTAAATTAAAGAGCTTGTAGAAGATAAAGTTGTTATAAAAAATTAAAAAATTCATGAAACGATTTTAAATCATTAATGTTATATTTTTAATCAACTATAAATAGTAGTTTTTAGTTTTAATCACGTGCATTATTATATTTATATTAGTTTAGAAAAAGTATACCGAGAATATAACTTATTAACCGTTACCCAATAACTAGAGTGAACATACTTAATAGTTAATAAATTATTCTCCTAGTCAATGACTATTGCTGAAGTAAAAAATTACGTGGATGTTTTCAACGCGTCTTAATTTTCTCCACATATCTCGAAAGCCTGAACGATCGGCAAAAATAAACATTCCGTAATTAAGATAAAAAGTAATAGAGAGTATTAAAACCGAGGCTCATTCTGCACCTTGGCTTCGTCATATCGTACTTTTAAAATCTGATATTCGCATAATAGAGCCACCGGCACTTTCTCATCTAAACAATCGATCTCTTCTGTTTCG